ATTGCCTGCATGTATGTGAGTGCACCCGTGTCGTGCAATGCTGCGGAGGTCAGAAGAGGGCTTCAGATTTCCCTGGAACTGGAGTTAAGGTAGTTCGTAGCCGCCATGTGGGTGCTGGGAATTGAACCCGGGTCCTCTGCAAGAGTAGTCAGTGCTCTTAACCGCTGAGCCATCTCTCCAGCCCCGGACCTTTAGTTTTAAGTAAAATAATATCATTGTGCTGATGAGACCTCAGGATGTAAAGCACCTGTGTTGGCTACTGTCGGTGCCTTTCCTCTGGTACAACGCTATTCTCTCAGATTAACTCAACACTATTCTAAGTCTCAAGATTGCAGGCAGTGCCTGTAAGGAAAATGAATCATAGCTAATCAGCGCCAAAGCTCTTTCTTTAGGGGCTAAGATTTGGGGAATAAGAGGATAAGCGACCCTCCAGGACCTTTGTATGAGTGGCTTCAGTCCATTCTACCTGCCTATCAACTCCATGTTTTCTAGTTGCCTGGACAACTTGCAGCCTCCAGAAACCCAACATTCCAGCTCCCAGTCCTGCCCTCTGGAGAAGCTTGCCAGTCTGGATTGGCTCCCTAAGACCCAGGCTCCTCCCCAGGCTCAGTCTGTTTGGGCCTCTCTTTGCCCTCCCCATGGAGTTTCATTCAACTGGGAGACCAACACACACTGACCAGAGAGGGTCCTACAGGTAGGAAGGGGAAGAATGAGGATATGGGAGAGAGAAAAGGGACTAGGCCCAGAGATTTCTTCTCTCTAAGAGGGTTGACTGCTGTACACAGAACATGTCGCCCTCACTGATCCCAGCCCTGCCAAAGATGACTAAGAACAGAAGCTTCTAGAAAGTATGAGATATCCTTGGAGACTAGAATTCTGACTCTCCTGAGACTCTTGCTTCAGTCTAGGTGTCAGGAAGTATCTGTGTCCAGGCCTACATACAAGGTCTTCCCTCCCCCAGGACAGTAAGGACATGCCACCTAAAACCAAAGAAAAACGGAGAAAAGCTGGGGTACAGAAAAAGAAAAAGAACCTGGGAGCTGGTGAGTCATGGTGGGTGGAGGTTGGTACCCCTGCTTGTCAGTGTCCTGGCATGCCTATGCAACAAGATGGAGCTGTTTTGTTTTGCTTTGCTTTCTTTTATTTTGTTTTGTTTGATCTCACTATATATAGCCCAGGCAGACCTCAAATTTGCCATCCTCCTGCCTCAGTCTCCCGAGTGGGGGATTATAGGCATGTCCAACCACACTTGGCTAAAGTGGGCTTTCTTGCCCTCCCCTTCAGAGCCTTAAATCCAGATTCCATAGAGCTGAGGAACTGAAGTCACCCATACTCGCTCTGGAGTCCTGTCTAGCTCTGTGCCTTCCTCATGTATTTGTCACCCTTACTTTGAGCACCAATCGTGTGTAGAGCAGTGAAGACTCAGCTATGAACTTGCAGACTTTGCCATCAGGCATCCCTCATTCAGTGATCCTCCCACATCTCAGAGGGGAGACAGATGTTGAGGGAGGACAGGGGCAGGACTGAGATCAGGATAACCTAAGACTCTTCTAACTTGCCAGGGCAGATGTGGAGACTGAGACCAAGCACAGGCTGGTGCTTTTGGAGAAGGAGCTGCTTCAGGACCACCTGGGTAAGAGGGTAGAACCTCTGAAGACAACAGAGGTGGCACAAAGGGCATTTCTGGGTCCTTGGGGAGTTGGAAGTTTGAACTATGGTACCAGGCTAAACCAAACTAATCTTCTAGTGGCAGACTGTCAGGAAGGGCTGGACAGTGAGGGTTGACAAGGGAAGCTATTTCTCCCCTAGTGCTGGGGTTGGAATCAGGACCTCATTCGTGGTAGGTAAGCATTCTACCATAGAGCTAACCTGCAGCTCAGGAAAGCTATTTTTTAATAGCTGCGACATGGAGAGAATATTTACTTCTTAGTAATGAAGAATCCATGGGATTCTAGGGGGAAAATAATAAACAGAATAAGAGGTTGGACAACTGCCATCAGGTTCCTAGAGGTAAGTGAAATTCATCAAGGCTATGGAGATTGATCCTGTAGGAACCCCAGCAGACTCAGAGTGGCTCTGACATTGTTCACAGCTCTACGGGGGGATGAGGCTCGTCAAGCCAAGGCTTCTGAGGATAGGCTGAAGCAGAGATTACAAGGATTGGAGGCTGAACTGGAAAGGGCCCGAAGCGAAGCAAAGGCCATATATGCAGGTATGATTTGGTTGACCAGGTAGGTAGCAGACATGGACCTACAAAAAGACAACCACATCGGTCAGGGGTAAGAGGAAGGGAAACAAAGAAAGCTTCTGACTGCCAAGTCTAGTCTCTACCTTCCCTGCACAGGCAGGGTCCTGAGAACCCAAGAGCAGTCTCTGGTATCCCAGGCAGAAACCTTCTAGAATGCCTGATACTGCATGCTTGATAGTTTGCAGTCATAGTCATTTTGTTTTTCATCCTTTGGGAGTAAATGGGGGAGAAAGTGTAGAACTGCCCCCCCAACCTGGTACTGGGGAGAACGCCTGGCTTCCTATCCTTCCCTGGATTCTCAGGATTTCCCAGTGTCTTAGGATCTTTACAAGGTCCTCATGCTGCTGCTTCTCCACCTGAAACTTCCTTTCTTTTCTCCATGTCTCTGCTCCACCTGGGTCCTGGATGCCGGCTGCTCCCACCTCAGAGATGAGCCGCCAGCATCAGGCCCTGCAAGAGGAGATGGGGACCCGAAGCAAGCAGCTGGAGGAGGATGTGAGAGGTCTACAAAAGCAGCTAGGTAGCCCCCCTACCTGCCTGTTGTGGTCTCTCTCTCTCTCTCTCTCTCTCTCTCTCTCTCTCTCTCTCTCTCTCTCTCTCCAAAACTTACTAACAAGGCCTAACAGGAAGGGGAGGGCTTAGAAGGTCCCTCTCTAGAAGTCTATAGTTTGTAGTTTGTTGGTTGAATTTGAACTTGGATCACTTTCACCTTGACTCTCCTCTGAATAGAAGGTTGAGGATGGCAAAAAACCTCTAAGATAGAGGTAAATAAAAGGTAGATCTCTCACCTCATTTCTCCCTTTGCTTGGTTTCACAGCTCTCCCATTTCACTGCCTTGTCTGTCCTAAGCAAGACATAATCCTTACTAATTTAGCTGACTTTTATATTCTAACTAAGGGAAAACATTAGACTTATTTACTTCAGTATCTTCAAAGCCTGGCACCTGGTGGTAGGCTTTAAATTTTACTACTTATTAATAAATGAATAAGCCCATCAAATAAGCAAATAAAAAGAAATCTGCTTCTCTCTTGCTTACAGGACAAAATTGAAATACGGCATGGCACATAAGAGCTTTCACAGTTTTTGGCCTCAAACTTTTTTTTTTTTTTTTTTGGTCTTCTTGAGACAGGGTCTCCCTGTAGCCCCAGCTGTCCTGGAACTCACTATGTAGACAATGCTGGCCTTGAACTCACAGAGATCCACCTGCCTCTGCCTCCCAAGTGCTGTGATTAAAGGTGCGCGCCATCACGCCCGCCTTCTCAATTTTTTTTTCATTCAAGATAGAGTCTCAGTCTGTATCCCTGGCTGGCCTGGAACTCACTCTGCAGACCAAGCAAGCCTTGAGCTCACATAGATTTACCTGCCTCTGTCTCCTGAATCTTTTTTGCCTTGGAAAGTGTCTCAGTCTGTAGCCCAGACTGGTCTTGAACGCAGTCTCTATTAGCCTCAGCCTCAAGTTCTAGGATTACAGGTGTGAACCATCATGCCTGACTTTGAAGTTTTCTTATCATAAAATATCTTCAGTTTAGGTATAAATATTCATGAGCTTCCTATCTGGCATACAGAGGATGGATTCCATATCTAATCTTGGCCTTCTTTCAAATTCAGCCAGCATTTATTGAGCACCTCCTGTATACTTCATGCTTCCTCATCCATTTTCACACATGTAGGGGTCACAGCAAGTAAGGGGGGTATATGCCATTCAACCTTTAAAGATAAAGAAATTGAGCCATGTAGGTGGTGCAGGTCTATAACCCTAATACTGGGGAGGTAGAAACAGGAAGGTCAAAAATTCAAGACTGTCCTCAGCTACATAGAGTTTAAGACCAGTCTGGGCTACATAAGACCTTGTCTCAAACAAAACAAAACAAAACAAAACAAAACAACAAAACATTTAAGACACTGAGATTCAGAGAGACATGTCCCAAGATTGCACAAGGAATAAGAACCAGACTTTGGTCCTATCTCCTGTTTCAAGGCCCTGCTCTACTGTTACGCCTCAGTGGGTCTTTACTGGAACTGCAGGGAAGTTGAAGAACCTAGGGAAGTCTGTAAGGGCCCCACTCAAGGTACCTTTGGCAACTGTTCTGGGTACATAGTGTCACCATCTGGTCCTCTTTTATCCTCTGCCCTACTCCCTAGAAACATGCCAGAGGGAAGCTGCGGCAGCAAGGGAAGGGGCTGAGCAAGCACTCCGAGAGCGGGACAGAACCCTCGCTCAGCTTCGGGCTCATGTGGCAGATATGGAAGATAAGTATGAAGAAATCTTACATGTAAGGACCCCTCCCTGGAGGCCAGTTGCCCAGTACCCAGCACTCCTCCATCCCCAAGCTCCCAGCTAGTGCAATGATTGCCAACCCAAAGGAGCGTTCTTGCTCTATCCTGAGTGTATACAGAGAGGACACAACCATATTTTAGGAAATCACAGGCAGAGCCAGTGGCATGTAATCCCAGATCTTGGGTGACTAAGGTAAAAGGATTTTGAGTTCAAGGCCAACATGGATTACATAGTAAGACACAGTCTCAAAAAAGCCAAGGGCTGGGGGTGTAGGTTAGTGGGAGAGCTCCTGCCTGGGTTCCAGACATAACGAGAGAGAGAGAGAGAGAGAGAGAGAGAGAGAGAGAGAGAGAGAGAGAGAGAGAGAGAAAGAGAGAGAAACAGAGGAGAGAAGGTGAGAAAGAGAAAAGTCAAGCTTGGTAGCACACAGACTTGTAATCCCAGCTACTCAGGAGGCTGAGACAAGGAGGATCATGGGTTCAAGGCCAATCTAGGCAACATAGTAAGACTCTGTCTCAAAATAAAAAGTAAAAAGAGGGTTGGATATATAGCTCAGTGGTAGAGTATTTGCCTAACATACCTAGCATATGTGAGGCCTTAGGTTCAGTCCTCAGTGGAGAGAGAGAGAGAGAGAGAGAGAGAGAGAGAACACTTAGCAGCCAGGCATGGTCATGTGCAATCCAGCACTTGATGGACCGAGGCAAGAAAATTTCAAGTTCAAAGTTAGCCTGGACTACAAGGCAAGGCAAGAATCTCTTTTCAAAGGAAGGAAGGTGGGCAGGGCATAGTGGTGCACTCCTTCAATCCCAGCATTTGGGAGGCAGAGGCAGGGGAATCTCTGTGAGTCTGAAGCCAGCCTGGTCTGCAGAGCCAAGTTCCAGGCCAGCTGGGGCTACAGGAAAACCCTGTCTCAATAAGACCAAAAAAGGAAGGAAGGAAGGAAGGAAGGAAGGAAGGAAGGAAGGAAGGAAGGAAGGAAGGAAGGAAGGAAGGAAAAAGAAACCAATACTAAGGGCAGCCCTTACCTTTGCCCTCTCTTCCTGGGAGCTGAAAGCTTGGTGTTTGCAGGACAACCTGGACAGTCTCTTAGCCAAGATGAGAGTGGTCAAGCCTCAATGGGATGCAAATGTGCTGAGACTCCACACCAGTCACAAGGAGATGCTGTGCCAGTTTGGTCTCAACCCCCTGGATCTTTGAGGCCACAGGCCTCTGGTCTCTTAGTCCCAGCAACAAAACAACTTTTTGTAGAATTCAACAGAGCTGTGTGCTGTGGTCTTTGTTAGAGAGTAATGGCCCTCATGGGTACATCTCTGTTCTGGGTTGACCCATTATGCCAAAGACTGAATGATAAGAAATTTGACAAGGTTGCAAACCTTCTCCTAAGGAAATCAGATCCTATTTCCTGAAGCCTGGCGCCCTTTTGGTCTCTTCAAACTACTTCAGCTTATCCCTATCAACAAAAAAGGAGAGTCAGATTAATAGGGAAAGGCTATTTTTTTTTAATTTTTAAAACTTTTATGTAGTTGTGGGGTATAGCATGCCATGGTGGGCATATATAGATCAGAGGACAGCTTTCAGGAGTTTGTTTTCTTCTTCTGCCATGTGGGTTCTGGGGATTGAACTCAGGCTTGGCAGTAAACACTTTACCCACTAAGCCATTATACCAACCAACTTGGAAAGGCTATTTCCATGACAGGACATTACAGTGACCAAGTATCAGTTCCCATAATTTTAAGGTGTCCATAGAAGGAAAGTATATCTGGTCTCCAAATTCCTGTGCTACATTACTCTGGAGTCATACATAGGATAAGTTCTCAACTGCTTCAGTCCTAGCCGACCCCAGTCTCCTTCTCAGGCAGAACTTCATCTTTGGGGAACAGATCCCCAAAGCCCCTATATAGCATCCTGTGGAGAACTTTAGCCTTGGGGCACAGCTCCCCAAAGCTCCTACATAACATCCGGTGGAAAGTTGGGCTCCCTCATGAGCTTGCCTGAAGTCTCTACCCCACACCCAGGGCTGGGAGGTAGGCCCATGGGAAGGGAAGAAGGCCTTCAGCAGTACTGTGATTGATGATGTCTGAATCCTCCAGATCATTTAGAGACCATCTCTGGCTCCTTCCATTTCATGGTGCAGAGCAATAACAGGAAAGTGAAAGGTCTGCGCCAAGCAGGGTGTCCTATAGAAGCTCTGAGGGCAGAGCCCAATCCTACACAGAAAAAGGAAGGAGAAGGTCATTCTAGAACCAGAAGACTTCTTTCTCCCTGCTCCAACCTGCCTTGACTGCCCAGGATGGGACTTATTCAATGGTTCCTTCTGTCTCTACATTCTATGACCTGCAGTTCTCCCCAGCATACCCCACACTGTTCCATCTTGTACCTCTCTTCTCTGCCCTTCTCATAGTTCTGTCTGTTGCTTCAACCTCACCTCTCTAGACTCCAAGGAAATCCAAGCTTCTAAGTCCTGGAGATTCCTGGCTGGTGCCAGCTTCAGGCACAGGGGTGGCTCAGCCTCCGCCAGCTGCTGAAGCCTGTCCAGGTCATTGTGTCCACCCACAGAGCACCCATTCACCTCCAGAACTTCATCTCCTATTTTTAGGCCTGCCCGGGCAGCTGAGCCTCCTGGAGTCACCTGGCAATGTAGGAGGGCACACAGAACATGGAACACCAAAGAAAAGTTCATCTAAGTCTGGGGCAGTGGATGTGGGCAGAGGAAGGCATGAGGTAAATGATGGAAAGATTTTAAGGTACATGGGACATCAGTTACCTGGGAGACGAAGAGACAAGGCCCACTGGCCACACAGCAGAGTCGGAAGCCATAGCCACCTCCAGGCCCAGGGTATAGGAAGCACTGGCGAGAGCCAACAGGGCCAGAAGGCTCAGCTGTGTCTTCAACTAGCAGGTCCTGGGTCTCTGCTAGGGATTCCAAGCTCATGGCCTGGGAGGAGGCAGCAATCTCTGAGTTCTCCAAGAAGAGGAGTGGGGACAGACGAACCTAGAGGGACAGACAGAACAGACCTGTGGCACTGGAGCTCTCCTCTATTCCTACCCCCTCCTTAGCCCTGTCCCTGGCGCACCATGCTGAAGAAGCTGTCAGCCTCAGGGTCGATGACAACGAGGGAGACACAAGAGCCCTGTGCTCGGATCCTGGACACTGTTTCCTCATGGCCCAGCCCCTCCACGCTTTCCCCAGCCACAGCCAACAGCCGGTCACCAGCTTGCATTCCAGCCTTGTCAGCTGGCAATCCTGGGTCCACCTCTGATAAGAACTGCCCTAGGACATAGATATCCTCACTGCTCCTCCTGACTCACCCTGAGGCGGGGGTTGGGGTGGAGGGGTGATAGGCAGAAGCACACAGGAGGAGACTGGGAGCTAGGGCTCTCTGACAGAGGCACCTCTCACTGAAAGGCATGCATTCAGATATGTATGCCCATCTCAAGGCCCAGCTTCCTACCCACCCCTTGGGCTGCCACTCACCGAGGTGACCATCTGGGCCCTTCTCCTCTCTGAGCAGGAACCCAAAGCCTTTAGGCCCTTTCTCTATGTGCAGACATCGGGGCTTGGCTGGCAGCGTCCAGCCCTCTGCCAGGGGTGCAGCCAGGGGCATTCCCAACTGGTGACACTGTTCCTCTACCTCTGGCCCTGCCACCAGCAGGGTCACCTGATCTCCACTCTGCCAAAGCTGTGGGGATCCAGCAAGAGTGTATCAGCCCTCTTTGTAGGGAAGAAGAGGCAGCCACTTCCTCGGCCCCTTTGCCAAGGACCAGAAATGATGGAGACACTTGAGGGGAGGGCCTCAAACAAACTATAGAGGGAAGAAAGGGGGTGACAAGTGCAGACCACCAGGTCAGGAGGTTGGGTGTGTGAAGAGGAGCTTGCTTCCTGCAGAAGGTGGCAGGAAGCCCAAATGGCTGGAGTGAGAAAACACACATACTTATACCTTCCTGCTGAGCTGGTTGGAAGTGAACTTTTCCACACTGACCCCATTCACTTCCAGCAGTCGGGCCCCAGGGGGCACCCCTGCCCTCTCAGCAGCTCCCCCTGCACTTAGCATCAGCCAGAAGGAACCCTGAGCTCCTGGAAGCAGAAAAACAAAATAACAAAATAAGCAAGTCCTAGCCTGCTGCTTGCCAGGAACAAGGGTTGAGTTCCCCCACTCCTGACTGCCCCCTTCCAGCCTCTAAGCTAACCGTAGGTGACGCTGAAGCCAAAGCCACCTTCATCTTTCATGATGTGGCATAACCGCGGCCGAACCCCTAAGCCTAAGGTAGGACAAAGGGGAGCATCGTTCCCCTGCTGAGCTCGGGCCACATCATACACGTGCTGTGCCAAGACTGTCAGCAACACCCGGGAACCGCTGGCCCGGATGTGACGCACCACCTAAAAAAGGGTACATGGGGATGAGAGAGGTTGACCTCTCTTGTAAAATTCCAGGACCTCCCTGGAGGGTACATTTTTTTCATTGTGGAACCATCTCTATAGAAGCCTTCACCCGACCCTTCTACCTGGGTGTCTCTAAATTCCATGGTGTGGGGAAAGCGAGGCTTAGGCCCTGTATCATGGTGCACAGAGAAGTGGCACCTTGCCTTCTATCCCTGATGTACTGTGGAATGCTCTCCTGTATCACTAAGAAAGAGTCTCAGCCCTGCCTCACCACTGCATGGTCCTCACGTTCCACGACATTAAGGTTCACTGCTAGGATCCGGTCTCCTTCCCGGAGACCTTGGTGCTGGGCAGAGGTGCCTGGCTCCACTCTGCATACCACATGGTCAGCCTTGCCCAGCTGCTGTTGCAGGTGGAACCCAAAACTCTTGCCCTCTTCTTTGCTCAGCAGACAGAAACGAGGCCGCTGCAGGTTCCAGGGATCTAGAGGAGGTGGTGGGCAGCAGAAAAGAGTGAAAGGAGGGGGTACAGTCCAGGTACAAGTCTACCAAATGACTGGCAGCCCCTGCCTCTAGTCAGGGCCCTGGGAAGCTTCTAGCCAGTGAGAGGGTGGGTATTGGAGTTGAATACTGTGTGGGCAGGGTAGCTGGGACAGAGGGAACACTGGCCCCCCTCCACTTCTGCTTAAGTTACTCATATTAGAGAGAGGCACTGAGTGGTTACCAAGGAGATAGGAGGCTGTGCGGGGAGCTGTAGTGGCTCCAGAGAAAAGCAATAGTTGCCAGGGGGTGAAGGGATTACCAGAGTGGTCCTGGTCTTCAGCCAAGGAAAGGACAGGATTGTCAATGCCCAGCTTTGGGTTAAACTTAAACTTCCTGCAGAGAGACAAGGGAGAAAGGGAGGAGAAGCTGGCTGCTGGACTTGGGTCCCAGGTCTTCTTGAGGTGCTAATGACAGTTGAAAAGACTCCCCACCTTCAATTCCTTCTTCTCCTTGCCCCAACCCTCACACCACTTACTGAGTTAATGACGTCCTGTCCCCAAGATCTGCAGGACAAAAAAGAGGTTAGAGACACATTCTTCCCCCGGACTCAACTTCCATGATCACAAATTGAAAGGGCTTCGACGAACCCCCAAACTCCTCCATTCTCCTCCTGGTACACACACACACACACACACACACACACACACACACACACAGGGGTGTTACAGTCCTCTTGCTTCCCCTCCCCCAGGTCTGTGGTGCATAAATCTGAGTGTATCAGTACAGGGTGTGGACCAGGAAGATAGAAACATAAACTTACCTCTTTCCTCCTAGTTCCCTCAGAGTTGCAAGCCCCAATATCAAGTGTGTTCCTGGTCCCAAAGATTCAAAATCTGTCCCTCCCCCACTGTCCCCACATCCCCTCAGAGAATATCTCCCCAGCCTCTTACCAGCAGCTGCCTCCATAGCTGGATCCGTGACCCAGGGCTCAGAGTAGGGACAAGGTCCATTATAACCAGCTGACCCTCCCACCTACCCCCTCCCAAGTCACGCCTCCTTGAAGACTCTGAAAGGAAGCAGTAGGGTAATGGTTAACAGCAATGGGACATATTCTCTGGAAAGTGTGTATGGGTTCCTTCTGCCCCATTCCTGGGCCCTACCTTTCTCTAGAGAGCCTGTAACTGACCCAGTTGCTCCTCTGCACAGAGAAAAGCAGATCAGACTGGTCACTGTTATTCCAAACCTAGGGGCAGTAAGGGGGATAGGAATTCTAAATCCCGTGTAGGGACAACCCCACCCCAGGATCTTACACAGACCTCCAGTCCCTCCAGTCCCTTCAGCCCCTCCAGTAATGGAAGATAATTTAAAGAAAGGCATTTGTGCCTCTCCCTTTGCCTATCAGACTATTCAAACAATGTACCCTAAGGAATTGGAATTTCCTCAGGAATCTCATACTGGAGAAAAAGAAAAGATGAAGCCCTGGTACCAGCCAGAAGAACTTGTCTCCCAAGAAGAGATTTCACACAGTTCTGACAATCTGTTAGACCACTTTGCAGGACAGACTGGAGCAGGGTCAATGAGACAGTGATGGGTGGAACCATGCCTTGACCTGGACTGCTTATCAAGGATAACTCTTGCCCTCTATTTAAATCTAAACTTCAGGTCAGAACCTGAGAGATAAACTTGGCAATGGTGGGTGGGTGGCACTGGACTTACTCGTTTGTTCCTCTTCTCAGTATGGTCACGTTGAGCACATCTTTCTCTGCTTTTCTTTTCTTTTTTGGTCTTTTTGAGACAGGGTCTCCCTGTAGCCCCAGCTGTCCTGGAACTCACTATGTAGACCAGGCTGGCCTTGAACTCACAGAGATCCACCTGCCTCTGCTTCCCGAGTGCTGGGATTAAAGGAGAGCGCTACCATGCCTGGCTCTGCTTTTCATTTAAAAAAAAAATTGGGGGGATGGTCTCAGGTCTGGTCACAGGGACGCAAAGCCCTCAGTCTGAACCTGCACTTTGCCACGGCCACAGCAGCCCCATGCCTGAAGACCACAGCAGTCCTGGGGCCTGGGGTATTGCAGGCAACAAGGGCCTTTCATACAGGGCAGCCATGTCTCGCTCCTGTACCACCTCTTTCTGAATATGGAGGAAAAGGGCGTCTTGGGCTGATCCCTGAGGAATTCTTCCAGTTCCTTTATCCTAAAGCAGGTGTGACAGGACCCTACATGCTTGGAACTGGGCTTAGTTTGTATTGTCTGTCCAAAGAAATATATGTGATCCCCCCAGAGACCTTCTCCACCATAGCAGTAGTAGGATTAATGGTCTATATCATTAAAAACTTTGGTGCTTCTATTGGAGAATTTATTCATAAGCTGAATGAGCTTATGAATTGCTCAGCTAGAAGAAGTAAAGCAGGCAAGCATCAAAGAAATCCAGGATGCAATTGATGGAGAGAAGACGCAGCAGGCGCTGGTTCAGAAGCACCACTACCTTTTTGACGTTCAGAGGAATAACATTGCCATGGCCTTGGAGGTCACTTACCAGGAGCAGCTACATAGAGTATATAAGGAGGTGAAGAATTCCATGCAGGGTATGATACGTCAAAAGGAGCAAGAACACATGATAGACTGGGTGGAGAAACAGATGGTGCAGAGCATCTCTGCGTAGCATGAGTAAGAGACAGTTACCAAGTGCATGGAAGATCTGAAGCTGCTCGTGAAGAAGGCTCAAGCACAGCCTGTGATGTAGATTATCTATCACAACTGAGACAGCCAGAAACAGTTAGCTAATGGAAATTTGTCTGCGCGACAGTTTTTCTGTATTGCTCTCTATTGAAATTAATGTACAAGGTTCACGTAGTGAATTAAATCTATTGGCCAGTCAGATATTTCTGATCCTTACTCTGTAATTTGGACTTGGGCCTGACTAAAATCACCAAGTTATAGTTTAAGTTTATAATTAATTATACTGTCTTGCAATAAAGTGAGAATTGAAACAATTTTTATTTATTTTTATGAGTGTTATGCTTGCATGTAAGTGCACCTGTGTCATGCAGTGCCCACTGAGGGTGTTGGATCTCCTGGAACTGGAGTTATGGATGATTGTTAGCTGCCATGTGGGTCCTGGGATTTGAAACCAGGTCTTCTGCAAGAACAGCTAGTGCTCTTAACCACTGAGTCATCTCTCGAGCCCCACTTTTCATTTTTTTTAAGATTTATTTTTATTTATGTGAAAATGGGTGAGTATATGTGTGCATGTGTCCACAGAGATCAGAAAAGGGAATGGGGCTGGAGAGATGGCTCAGCAGTAAAGAATACTGCTCTTGCAAAAGACCCAGGTTTGGTTCCCAGTACCTATACAGCAGCTAACAACAGCCAATAACTCCAGGTTCAGGGGATCCAATGTTCTCTTCTGGCCTCTGGGGGTTGTATGCGCATAGTGCACTTACATATATGTAGGCAAAACACTCATACACATAAAAGTAATTAAAATATTTTAAAAAGAAAGAAAACCCGGGCATGGTGGCACACGCCTGTAGTCCCAACACTTGGGAGGCAGAGGCAGGCGGATCTCTGTGAGTTCAAGGCCAGCCTGGTCTACATAGTGAGTTCCAGGACAGCTGGGGCTATAGGGAGACCCTGCCTCAAAAAGAAAGAAAAGTCAGGCATGGTGGTGCATGCCTGTAATCCCAGCATGTGGGAGGCAGAGGCAAGTGGATCTCTAAGAGATCGAGGCTAGCCTGGTCTACAAGGAGACCTTGTCTCAAAAAATAACACAAGGAAGAAAGGACGAGAGGGAGGGAGGGAGGGAGGGAGGGAGGGAGAAAAAAGGCATTGGTTCCCTTGGAACTGGAGTTACAAGTGGTTGTAAGCTGCCCGATGTGGTGCTGGGAACCCAATTCTCGTCCTCTGGAAGGGCAGCAAATGCTCTTAGCTGCTGAGCCATCTCTCCAGTCCCTCTCTGCTTCTCTCTGTTCTCTCTTTAATTGGCTTACTGAGGATGGGTGGCAGAGCCCAACTTGTCAGGGCTACCAAAGCCCAGGCTTTAATCCTTAAAACTCAGTAATATTACTGCCTCTGGATCTAGTGTCCAGGAACCACCTTCAGCAGAAGGTAGTTCAACCAGACTGACCCTGTCTTGGAAGCACCAGCAAGGAAGAGGAGGCCACAGTAAGTAGAAGACACATAGCTTTTTAATAGCATCAAGTCGCATGCCCCTGTCCCAAGGGACTATCAGTATCCATACAGCTGAAGGGCATGAGTCCAGGGAAAGCACCAATGTGAGGCAAGAATGGGAAGCTGGATGGAGGAACCCCCAGCATGGAAGACATGAGAGGTGTGCCCCTTGATGGCACAATCAGGTTCCTTGAGTGGAGGAAGAGGCAAGATTATTGGTGGTGGCCACATGAATAGCACATTCTTAGTGCCTCTAGCCAAAAGGAAAGGTGGCACACTCTATGTTCAAGTCCACAGCATCAGTTCACCATATTTGACCTTGAAAATTCCAGACTTGGGGTCCTGGCTGGACTTGCCCAGGGGACAGGGTGATGACACAACTGTGCCCTCTGCTTTGACTCCAGCACTGAAGGAATCTTTCTGGAAGGAGCAGTACAAGCCAGCGGGCTACAGAGCAAAGGGGTTTGGGGCCAGCGGTCCCACAGCTAGGCCACAGGTGCCACTGTCTAGCATTCAGGGCCTCCCAGCTGCTCTACAAGGGACTTGACCTCGCCCTCCACTCGCAGCAGCTGAGCCTTGCGCCAAGGATTAAGGGTGGCACCTCGGCTATCTTCCAGGTCTCTAAGCAGCAACTTGAGGTGACGCCGGACCCGGGCAGGATCCCAACTGTTAAGGTTGCGTTGGACTTCACTGAGAATCACTGACCAGTACTCAGACACTGCTGCTCCCTCTGTCAGTGAGGCCACAACCCGGGCACCACCTTCAGCAGAACTCCCCAAGTCCCTCAAGACCTGGCGGCCTTCTGAGCTCAGCTCATTGAAGTAAAGGCTGGTGGGAAAGAGAGGGATATCATTCATCATGGCCCTGATAAGAGCCCCAAGGTGGACAGGCAGAGAGTCAAGAGGCCTCATAACTCTGGGAGGCCTCATAACTCCTCTCCAGGCTGCTGAATAGAAGAGGATAAGAGTCTATAATAAGGGGCTGGGGGCATGAGATCAGGGGCTGGACTTACTGCAGCAGCTCCACAGAAGGGTGCTCCTGGGCAGCCTTGGCCAGGGACAGGGCTGCTGTGTCACCAGCACCATTGTAGGCCACATTCAGCTCCTGCAGCTGTTTATTGCGGTCCAGCTGGGCAGCCAGCAGCTCCAATCCCTCATCTCCAAGGTCGGTATGCAGCAGGGACAGGTGTGTCAGTGAGGTGTTTCCTGCCAGCCCCTCTACCAACAAGGCAACCCCTGCTGCCGTCAGCGGGTTGTTGGACAGCCTGGGACCACAAGCAACCCAAGATTAAGGGCCCCATTGTAGGCACCCATGCTGTGCATTGGGACTTGGGTCAAAGGGGACAAAGCAAGGATGAAGGCCAGCCTAGACACAGAAACGAGGCCCAGGACACTGGACAGAGAAGCGCAGAGTGGCCCCAGCTGAGAAGGAAGAGTTAGAGAAAGCAGGTTTCCAGCCACCTCCCCAGTCCCTGCTCCTCCCTTCCTCTCTGGTGTCCCCATTTTGCTACCCTCCTTTTTTTTTTTTTTTTTTTTTTTGCCTGTGGGGGTGGATATGCAGACACATGTGGGGGCCAGAGGAGACTCAGTTCTCTCCTTCCACTATGTGGGCCCTGGAGATCGAACTCAGGTTGTTAGGCTAGGTGGCAGGGGCCTTTACTCCCTGAGCCAGTTTATGGGCCCCTTCTGCCCTCCTTTCCTCTTCCGTATTCACCTCCCTCAACTCTAATCAGAAACTGGGACCCCAGGTATCTGGGTTCCTAGGAAATCAGTTAACACCTTGAGAACGTCTACAGAGTGCCCTACATGACAGTTGATCTGGCATCCTTGTGAGACTACAGGGAAAATCCTGAGAGAGGGGATCAGCTCTGTTGCCAGGCAACCAGCCCAAGGTTACTGTCATCTCCCTGCCCTCAGGCTGGTATTAGCCAGAAGAGAGGCTTTCTTAGCATCCACCATTGGTGGTATCCTTGTTCCAGCCTGATGCTAATGGACCTGGGCAGGGGGCAGGCCAGGGCCTAGCCTCCCACCCAGAGCCAGGCCAGGCCAGTACCAACTATGCTGTGAAGCGGAAAGCTTACCCAGACTCTCAACCAACCATCAGGAGAGCCAGAACCTCCCACCAGCCCCCAGCTAGGACACTCACCTCAGAGTGGTGATCTGGCACTGGTCATGGAGCAGCAGGTCTCGGAGGTCCCTGCAGGCCTCAGGGCCCAAGCTGTTGAGTTGCAGCCTGGAATAGAAGGTGGCCAGAGGGGAGGCAAGAGACAGGAAAGCAGTTCAGTATGTGGTCTTCCTATGGACTGTGCCCCTTCCTCATCAGCCTGCCTCCTGTCATCACACCTGCCCTACCTCATCTTGCCCGTCACCTCTGCCTGCACCTTCTCTACCCACTCTGCTATGTCAAGGGGCAGGAGCTGGAGGCTTTGCTCCCAATGTGGCTGTATTGGGGAAGGGTAGAACCTTTGAGATATGGGACTAGTGCCAGATGACTAGGTGGGTACCCTTGGAAAAGATTAGCTGGACTTGGAGAGGGTTAGTTCCCATGAGAGCAGGTTTGGAGCAAGGTCATGTGCTTGGCTTTTTCTGCACACAGCTATTTCCTGTTCTGCTCCTCTGCCATGTTGCAGTGTAGCCACAGGGGCCTTCATCAGAGGCTGAGCCCATGCAGCTGCCCAGTCTTGGGCTTTCAGCCTCCAAAACTGAACTAGATAGATGTTTTCTTTCTTTCTCTCGTTCTTTTTCTTTCCTTCCTTTTTAAAAAGTTGATTATTTTATGTGTTTTGCCTATGTGTATTTAAGTACATCCATGTGTGATGCCTGTGGAGGCCAGAAGAGGGCACTGGATCCCCTGGAACTGGAGTTATGGATGATTCTTAGCTGCCACGTGCATGCTGGGAACTGAACCTAGGTCCTCTGTGAGAGCAGACTGTGCTCTTAACTACTGAGCCATCTCTCCAGCCTGCCCCCCTTCCTTCCTTCTTGAGACAAGATCATATATATCCCAGGCTGCCCTGGAACTCATTCTGTATTCCAGGTTTGACTTAAACTCACAGCAATCCTCTTGTCTCAGTCTTTTGTTTTGTTTGAGACAGAGTCTTACTATATAGCTCTGGCTGGCCTGGAACTCACTATGTAGACCAAGCTGGCTTTGAACTCCCAGAGATCTGCATGCCTGCCTGCCTAAGTATTAGGATTAAAGGCATGCACCATCATGCCCAGGCCTGCCTCAGTCTTTTGACTCTGGAATAACAGAGGTGTCACTATGCTTAGCAGACCCTTTTTGTTTATAAAGTGCCTAGCCTCAGCTATTTTGCTATAGCATTAGGAACAGACTAATACAAATCCCTTGGCCCTTCCTTATTCCTTTGACCTCCCTAGCCTTCTCTTCCCTCCTCAACCCCTAACCCTTTCCTCTCTTCATGCCTGTGCATGAGGACTGGTCCTCACCCCAGTTTCCGGGCACGCAGGAAGACAGGCATGAGTGTGCGTAACCCAGCAGGATCCAGCTGGCAGGAGGCCAAGTTCACCTCATCCAGAGCATGCTTTCCACTCCCTAATACAGCTGCTACCACCGTGCACTTGAGGGGTGTCATGCGCACACCTGCCAGGTTGAGCTGGCACAAGGAGCTGAGCACCTCAGCAGAGAAACGCTGGTTCTGGAACTCATAGTGGAAGAAGAGGTGGTCCAGAAGCTCTGAGGGGGGCAGCATCTGCCGACCCAGTTTGCCTAGCTTCTTCTTGATGGCCTGGGCATTCTCCAGGGCATCTAGGTTCTTGATGGGGCAGCCAAGCTGAGCCAGCACAGCCCGGTTGTGGGCAGAAAGAAGGCCCCCCATGAACATGGGGAAGAGCTCGAAGACTTCATCCTCAGGGGGCTCATCTGGGTGGCGCCGGGGGCCCTCCACACCCAGGATGCTGGCGCCCATTTGATCCAGAACATCATCATTATAGTAATCCTCTTCTCGGAACATCTCCAGCACCATCGCCTGGGCCACTGCCTCCCGGCTCTTACTCACCATGCCCCCAAACACTCGTGGAACCACCTGGAAAAGAAGCAGGGGAAGCGGTATGTGACTTCCCATGGGCCTGATCAGCCTTCCAGGTTCTGCTTAAGGTAGACTCCCTGACTGTTCTAACCTTGTGATTTCCCCCTTGAACTCACAGCATGATTAGTCTGAGCATGCTTCACCCTGCTGCACCTTCCATGGCTCCCCACTCCCTGTGAGACAAACTTCAGACATTTAGTATGAAATGTCATCTAGCCCCAATTGGACTTTTCCAGGGTCATCTCTCAAACACTCAAACACTTGTCTTATGCATGTTAGATTTAGGGACTTCTTTCTTTTTCCCAGGTACCCATTCATTTTCAAGTCCAGGAGGTAGCAGGGGAGAATGAACACACACAGTTGTCCCTTGGTCTCCAAAGGGGATTGGTTCTGGATTCCTCATGGATATCCAATATCCTGCATGCTTAAGTCCCTTATATAAAACGAGTTAGTATTTGTATGTAGTCTATGCACATCCTACTATATATTAAATCATGCCTGGACTACTTATGACACCTAATACAATGTAAATGGCAAGTATACAATGGTTATATGGTAACTGTTTATACGCTGTAAACAGTGTTCTATTGTACTGAAAAAGGTCTCTACATGTTTAATACAGACATTTTTTGTGTGTGTAGTGTTTGGAATTAAATCCAGGGATTCACCCATGTTAAATACATGTTTGATCACTGAGCTACATCCCCAACTGCATTTGTTTTTAAAGATTTTATTTTTATTTATTTATTTATTTATTTATTTTTATTTTATTTTATTTTATGTGTATGAGTGTATTGCCTGCATGTAGGTAAGGGCACCTGTGTCATGCAATGCCCTCAGAGGACAGAAGAGGCCATCAGATCCCCTGGAACTGGAGTTATGGACAGTTGTTAGCTGCCATGTTAACTGAGATTCGAACCTGGGTCTTCTGCAAGAACAACCAGTGTCCTTAACTACTGAGCCATCTCTCTAGCCCCCTAAAGATTTTATTTTTAATTAAGTGTATATGTGCGTGGGTATGTGTACATGAGTGTGGGGGTCACAGGGGCCAGAGACATCAGATCCCCCTGAAACTGGAGTTACAGGCAGTTATGAACTATCCAGCACAGGTGCTAGGAACTAAACTTTGGGCCCTCTGCAAGAGCAGTACTTGCTCTTAACTGCTAAGCCATTTCTCCAGCCCACCTTTCCTTTTTTCAAATATTTCCTTTTATTTGTTTTCTTTTTGTTTTTTGTTTGTTTGCTTGGTGCTTTTGAGACAGGGTCTCCCTGTAGCCCCAGCTGTCCTGGAACTCACTATGTAGACCAGGCTGGCCTTGAACTCACAGAGATCCACCTGCCTCTGCCTCCCGAGTGCTGGGCTTAAAGGCATGCGCCACCACGCCCAGCTCTGGTTTTTTTTAATGTGTACAAGTATATTGCCTGCATGTATGTGAGTGCACCCGTGTTGTGCAATGCCTCGGAGGTCAGAAGAGGGCTTCGGATTTCCCTGGACCTGGAGTCAAGGATGGTTTGTAGCTGCCATGTGGGTGCTGAGAATCAAACCCAGGTCTTCTCCAAGAGCAGTCAGTGCTCTTAACCGCTGAGCCACCTCTCCAGCCCCTGTTTTTTGTTTTTTATGATGGGGTCTTGCTATTTTAGCCTAGGCTGGCCTTGAATTCATGACTCTCCTGGTTTAGTCTTCTGAGTCCTGGGATTACAGGCAGATGCTACCAGGTCCCAGTAATCAAATATTGCCTGCCTTCCCTCCTTTCTTTTTATGAGACAGGGTCTCATGTTCCTGGCTAGTCTGGACTGCTACTTAGCTAAAGATGACCTTGAACACTTAATCCTCCTGCTTCTACTTCCCAAGTGCTGGGGTTACAGGGATGGGCCATCTGGGTCAAATACTTTCAGTGTGCAGTAAAATGAATCCACAGATGTGGAACAACAGATGCAAGGGGCTGATTTTCATGCATTCAAGTTGAAGGCCAGGCTGGGTATTATAAATACATCATCACTTTCAAAATTCTGATTATTGCAGCAACCTTGTTTGACGTGGCTCCTGCAGCTTCAAGGCCCCCCCATGATGTAGCACTGACAATCATGGCTCCTCCCCCTGCTCCCCATGCCCCATCCCAAGCCTCCACCCCCTCTATGCTTTCACCCTTTCAGATTTTCTCTCCTTTCTTACAGTGCTGAGGCAACCCCCACCTTCAGAGCCTTCACAATGCTGCTTAATGTGCACCCCGCCTCCCCATTGTCTTCTTGACTAATCCTACTGAAATCAGTTTAAATGGTCTTCCAGAAAGGCTTTCCTGAGCTCTCAAACCAGGGTCCTCGATCTCTCTTCAGAACACCTGGAACTTTTCCTTATATGAATTTATTCTTTTTTATTATATAAACATGTTGACTTTTGTGTTTGATCTGTAAGATCAAAAAGGGCAAGAACCTGCAGATTCGTTAATTGATTTTTCCTCCAAATCTAACACATTGCCTGGCACACAGCAGGCACTGAAATATCTGACAAAGGAATGAATTGCATCTGGGGAGGCTTGTGCTATCACCTCCCATCTTTTCGATGGACCATAAGATTGTTTTGTGGCACCTCCTCTCATGTCTGGGTTGTTTTTCACTTTTTATATATGAGGTTCTTGCCACAGGTGACAGCACCCAGCACTAGTGTGGGGACAGACCAGAAAATATCAACCTGTGAAATTGAATCAATAGGAGTAGCATGAAGAGAGCTGAGGATGTAGTTCAGAGACAGAGTGATGGTTGGCATGCAAGGCCCTGGGCCCAAGTCCCAGCACCAAACCCCCACACCCCCCCACATGATACATAACGTGAAACACACACATAGACACACACACACATACACACAACATACACACATACACAAGATAGGATCATGAAGAACACCTAGCCATCTGCTACGGTGATTTCCCCTCTGAGAAGGCTTGAGGTATGGTGTGCCTTCAAGATAACTGGGGAGCTCTCAATACCACAGGGCAGAGCCCTCACTGAGTCCATCCTCAAAGGGTTGGGTGGCCTCAGCAGTGGCCTTCACCTCCTTGTCTGAGATGATGGTCTGAGAGGATAAAGCCACATGAGCCTGTTTTGATGTTTGGGTTTTTAAAAATAAATTTGTTGTATTTTATTTATTTTTATTTTGTGTGTATGAGTGTTTTGCCTGCATGTAAGTGACCATGTGCATGCAGGGCCCATGGAGGCCAGAAGAGGGCATCAGATCCTCTGAAACTAGAGTTTAAACTCAGGTCTTTGGGTTACTAGATCCCTGTTCTTAACATTTATGCTTTGATGCTTAGAAAAGGCAAAACTTGCTGACACTCTGCCAGCACTAACCAGAACTTTGCCTTCTCAAGACCCATTGCGGACAGATTTCTAGAAAAAATAGGGTTACCTAGCAAGTCACCACAGCTATGCAGAATGTCCCTTGTACACCCTAGGTAGTTTGGCAGAAAGAACACAGGACTCAGAGTCACAAACCCTGGGCTCAAATCCCAGCTATTCTACTTACTACCAAAGTGACCTTGGACAAGTTCCTCTGCCTCAGTTCCCTCAATTTCTTCGTGTGTGTGTGTGTGTGTGTGTGTGTGTACATACATATGTATGTGTGTATGTTTGCATGTGTGTTGGCACCCATGTGGGGGTTGTGCACAACATATGTGTGCATGCAAGGAGAGACCTGAGGCTGATGTCAGGAATCATTGTTTTTCCGTCTTATTCATCAAAATGGGGTCTCTCAATCAAACCTACCCCCCAGCATTTACATGGGTTCTGGGATCTGAATTCCAATTTCCACACTTGTACCACAAACGCTAACCACTGAACTATCTCCCCAGCCCAGCTTCCTCAACTTCTAAAAGGAGTCATAATACTGTTTCATCTCCAGACTTCCAGGGCTGATGTGAAAAATAAAGGAAGAACCAGGATAAAGCAACTGGCAGACATCAACAAAGAGTGGCTCCCCGCATGCCTCAGGAATATCCCACATCTGCCCTGCTCACAGCATCACCCTCAGGCCTGTGGATTGGTATCTGGAGTGGACCAGGATGGACTGTCCTAAGCCAATTACAATGCCATTCATCGTCCCCATATAAATGAATAAAATGGCATCTGCTTTATAAACCTGTCCCTGGTGATTGAGTTAGGATGATTCATTGCTCCTGGGGCCTAATCACCTCTAGAGGAGCAGACACAAATGAGTTTCTGGCATGGGGTAGCTGGGGATGTAGCTTAGTGGTAGAATATGTGCCTAGCATGCACAAGGCCCTGGATTCAATCTCCAGCAACACACACACACACACACACACACACACACACACACGGTTTCTGGACCTGTCTAGACTATAGTGACCCCTGTCTCCCAACAGCAAATGTTAGAAGAGATACAAAAAATGGAATTCTTAGGAATCCATATGGATTGTTATAAAAGTCCCTGGCCCCTAATTCACCTCTTATCCAAGCCTTCCTGTGACTTCCTTCTCCCCATTCCTTAGACTCCAATTCCACTAAAAGCCAAATTGCCCAGAGCTGAAACCAAATTCCCATCTATACAAGAGGCAAGGCCAAGGGCAAGGGATAGGTATATACAGAGTCATGAAGCACAGTCTGGGGTCCTGGGGAGGAAAGAGCAAGGGGTGTGTGTGTGTGTGTGTGTGTGTGTGTGTGTGTGTGTGTGTAGTGGAGAGGCTCCTACCTTGAGCAAGTTGAACAGCAGAGGCAGAATCCGCAGGGGCAGCAGCTTGGCCACGATGCCCAGTACCAGACTGACATCCTCTCCTACACGGCCGGCAAACTCAACCACTTCTTTGCCCACCCGCTGCAGGGGAGTCTTGCGTAAACCCAGCACAATGTAGAGAGCAGCCAGGTATTCCTGCATGGCAGGCACAGTGAATACAAAGGTACCCAGGTGTCCTGGCTCCACACAGGGAGCCAGGAAAAACCTCAAGGCATCTCGGCGGAAGATGTGCAGCAGCTGAAACTCCTCTTCTGTCTTAATACCAGACTCCAGGCAGCCTCGGACATCCTCTTCAGAGAAATAGGTCTTGCGGGATGACACCCCCTCATAAGCCAACTTGCCCATGGTTCGGGCTGCATAGGCCATCAAAGATAAATTGGAGGGATCAGAGCTGTCCAGTGTTTCCCCGCTGAAGTTCAGGCGCAGGAAGCTGGTATAGATGCTCGTGAGGGTCTGGCCAGCAGGTGTGGGGGCATGCAGGAAGTGCAAGGTGGCACAGACAAGCCAGCAGTAGGAGGGCAGGAAGCAGGCGGCAGCAATCTGGTGGTGCCCCTCCAGATTTCGGGACAACATCTGAATCAGGTTGTCCCGCTGGGCAGGCGTGGCTGAGACTCCTGCACCCCCTGCACCATACCCACAGTCAGGCTGATTGAGGCGGAGCTGGAAGTAGAGCTTCTGCAGGTTGGTATCAGAGAAGCCACAGATCTCACCATAGCGTCCCACATACTTGCTGGGAATGCGGCCAATGGCAGAGGGCCGGGTGGTCACCAGAATGCTGGCCTGGGAAGGGCATGGTTAAAGATTAAGAAAGACCTTAACTGGGCATAGTGGGGCATGCCTTTAATCTCAGCACTCAGGAGGCAGAGGCAGGCAGATCTCTGTGAGTTCGAGGCCAGCCTGGTCTCCATAGCGAATCCAGGCCAGCTGTGGCTATAGGGAGACCTGGTCTCAACAAGAACCCCCTCCACCAAAAAAAGACCTTAGTGCCCTGATTGTCTCAAGTCCTCGGGAGGCAGAGGCAGGCGGATCTCTGTGAGTTCCAGGCCAGCTGGGGCTACAGGGAGAACCTGTATCAAAAACAAAAATAAAACAGAAATTACAGTAGCTATTACTGAGCATCTACTTTGGCCCAGGGCACTGAGCTAAGCACTTTCTATGCAGTATCTCATTTAGCCAGTATAGCACAATAGTAGAAAGACACAGAAGAGTGGGGAACTTAGTGACTTGCTCAGGGTCTCACAATTGGGAAGTGGAGGGGCCGGGATGTGAACTAACACAGGGACCATGCTATCTAACAACCATTTAAGCCAAGAACATAAAACTCCTACGGGGCAGGCTAAAGGGGCAGCAGTGGTAGGGTTGTGGCAAAGGGCCACCCACCTCAGGAAGCATGTATTTGCGCAGCAGGTTGACCATGATGGCAGCTGGTGCCCCTGGCTCGTCTGGGTCACTACAAAGCCCTGTGCCTGCCAGTCGAAAGTCAAGGTTGAGATGCTCCAAGCCATGGAGCACAAAGAGCAGGCGGGATCCAGCAGTGGCCATCAAGGGCAGTACCTCCTTCAGGGGTGTGTAGCGCTGGGCCACAAGTTGGCACAAGGAAGCTGGGGTGGGGCCCAGGGATGACAGATCCTCACAGGAGAAGGGGATGAGCAGCTCGAAGGCAGGAAGCCTCCCATAACACCAGTCCAGGACCATCTTTCTGACCAATGTGCTCTTACCAGTGCCCACAGTCCCATACAGCACCACCGTCTGCACCCGGCGCCCACAGGCATCTGGGTCAAAGAGTTGTGAGAGGGCCAGTGGTGGGAGCCCCACATAGGCCTGCTGATGCCCCATGATCAGCTCTGCAGATGGGCGAAACAGCTCATCAGGGTTGCTCTCACGGATCACAGGGTCAACATGGACTGTGTCTAGAGCAAATGTTGGTCCAAACTGGCGCTCCTCTCTGGGCAGCCGGCTGAACCACTCAGCAAGGTTCCGGCAGTGCCTTTGGATAGCTTCTAAATGAAAAGGTAGAGGACATGGGTCAAGGCAAGGGACTGGAAACACTGGAGCTTAAAGCTAACCAGGCTGGTGGAAGGTCATGCTAGGGAGTCAAGACACTGAACTTAGATGCAGAAACTCAGAATGGTGTACAGCACACAGGACTCCCTTAGCAAATACTGTCTGGAAGGTTTAGTAACTCCATGGCAGAAAGTACAGAACCTCTGGACAAGTGATGCTGAGTCTAGGCTGACTGGCTTCATGGCTGCCTATCTGTACACAATCTTAACCTGATTGCTGGATGCAAAGTTGGCTGGAGGTAGGAAGAGTGTTTCTGTAGGTGCTTTGTAAATGGTAGCATGGTATGAGTGCTTCAGGAAGGGACACACAGATGGGAGGGAGGGAAGGAGGCAAAGAGGGAGGAACCACCAACAGATGACTCTTCTGTGCCTCCCTCATCTTGATTCTCCTTCCAGGCCCCTCTCTTGTCCACACTCCTCCCCACTAGGATCCCAGCCAGTTCTTTACCAGTGGCAGAAATGCTCCTGAACAGCTGTCCATGCTTCCCTGGTTGGGGAGCACTGTCGGCTGAACTTCGGTGGTGGCGTATTAAGGCCCTGGGATCAAGAACAGGGGGTGAACTGGGGTTTAGACATTGGGCTCAATCCCAGTGTGGATTCTGAGTCCAGGCCAGTCTGCATTTTCTAAGATTCAGGCCTGACAATGAACATCCAATTCTTACCCTTCCCAGGAACTGGGAGGCCCAATCCCTTGGCCCATCAGCCATAACTGCTGCCTGCCTAGGACTCAAGCTGTCCTCTGTCAGATCTATCCCATTCCCATTACTGTGTCTACTTCCTTGTTCTAAGCCAACTTCCTCTAGAGCCTGGGAGTTGCCTCAGTACACCCCTCAACCCAATCATCTTCCCAGGGGATCAAGATAGCACTCTGTCCTGACCATTGCTCATCTTCTGGGCTGTGCCCAGCTGTGTTCTAAGGCATGACACACCCAGGCCTCACCTAGGGGGTGCAAGAGGATGCACCCCTTTAAAGGGACAACTCCAGTGGGCCAGGAAGGGGATACACTCATCTACAGAGAGAAGAAAAAAAAACAGCATCTGCAGATCTCATCCACATTTCCTCACTATGCACCTCCCCATCAACATCAAATCCTCTTATTTGCTCTCACAGAAGCATGTGCTGTCCCTAAGTAGCAGTCATTATGCAATCTTCTATTTAACCATATGATTATTTGATTATCATTCATTTCCCCCTCCATGAGATCAGGGCTCACATCTGGTTTTGTTCACAATTATATACCTAGAACTTAACCCGGGGTCTGGTAAATGGCCAACATGCAACAAATATATTGGACACAAAATGAAATTAGATTGATGCAGCTATAAGGGGCCCTGGGAGATCATCTGGTCCAGCTCCCTTGTTTTAAGATGGGAGAAAAAAAGCTTTGGGAGGTAAAGTGGCATGCCCAAGGTCAACAGCTATAGAGCCACAGAGCTGGGACTAGTAGTGCACCTGGTGTCTGGGTCCCACCTTTTTTGGAAGCATCATCTGGACGCTGAAGAGGAAAGGAGGGGTAAAAACAGAAACCTCAGCTTCCTGCTCACCTGGTAGTGGCGGTATTCTTCCTATACCTAAGCCCCAAGAGGCCCTGGGCAAATGGCAGCCCCACCTCATCCTAGGAGAGACGGTCAGAGCCTGGAGGACTTAGAGTACCACCTTCTATCCTGTTCCCCTGCAAAAAAGAAGAGTGTGAATGGGACAAGAACGTTTCTCTGGTAAAGGCTCTTGCCACAAGCCTGAAGAACTGAGTTCAATTCCTAGAACTCACATGGTGGAAGGAGAGAACTGCTTCTGAAAGTTGTACTCTGACCTCAACACACACACTGTGGCATGCAGGAACCCACTCAGACACATGAGATAAATAAATGTAAAAAAAAAAAAACCCCAAAAACCTTAGCTGGGCGTGGTAGTGCACGCCTGTAGTCCCAGCACTTGGGAGGCAGAAGCAGGCAGATCTCTGAGTTCAAGGCCAGCCTGGTCTACATAGCGAGTTCCAGGCCAGCTGGGGCTGCAGGGAGACCCTGTCTCAAAAAGACCA